TCTCTTTTTTTCCCAAAAGAAAACATGAGAGAAATTATACTTAAAAACAAAAAAGAAATACAAAATCCAAGTCAAGTTCTTACCTTGGTTCTGTGGAACGGGCATGGATGATGCATTAACAACGGCTGCTTGCACAGATGAAGAGACTGAGGAATTGACCATCCAACCTGCTAAAGCATTAGCGTTCGCAGCAGCTGCACCAACCGAAAAGGGCTATACAAAGAAGATAATTATGAGTCCACACTTTTATATTCCTAAAGTATAATCAAGAAGGCCAAGAAAAAAAAAGATCAATGCTTATGAGATGTATAATATCATACAGTATGAGCTCCGAGTGAAGAATAAGCAGTGGGTTTTACAACCGCGGCAACTGGAAGAGTAACAGGTGTAGGAGTAGAAGTATGAGGGCCATTTGAAGGTGTACATGTGTGATCAGTGAATAAAGTTTTGATGTCCGGATTTGGTCTTGGATTTTTGCATAACTGGTGCTGCCAGTTCAAACTACATGAAAGTGTCAGATCAGACAAATATCAGCTTAGCACAATAGCCCCAACCATCGACAACTTTACAATATGACAATGTTAAAGGAACATTTGCCCTTCGAACCCCTACCAGGGTCCCAGAATGCTATACGACCCAAAAAAAAGCACAAAAGGCCTCTACTAGCTCATGATTTTCTTTCCCTTTGGAAAGAAGAGAAAGAAAACATGAAAAAAAACACAAATGCTATTTATTGATGATTGGGCACAATTTCAAAATAAAACCAGCTCGAGTCATTCAATCGTCGTTCATAAAGGCCACACAAGTGCTAGAAGCAACCTGTGCTTGAGCGAAAGCAATTAATTAGCATATAATGTGTAGATAAGACTTTACTTGAAAATTTCAAACTAAAAAAAACACTGAAAAGCTGAAGCACAGGCAAAGGAAGTCAAAGTTAGCTAATTTACGGAGATAGGGGATTTTAAATCAAACATCATTGCACCACAAAACTACTGTTTGAAACACCTATGAGAGGAAAGAAAAGGGGGAAATCCAGGTTTTTTCATCCAAGAATATCACTCTCGCGGTCTCACCTTTGGTTGATTAGAGTCCGCAGTCTTGATGTCTTCAGAGCGGGAAAAACAAGCTTATCACGAAAGAGGGGATTTGCTTCTATCAGTTTCTTAAGCTCTATCAACATGATGCTGCGAGCTGTTTTGGTGTCACCATACTTGGAAAGCTGTTCATTTTCCCTGGTAGTTATTTCCAAAGAAAGAGATTAGTTACATACATGCACCACAAACAAGGAGTTCTAGAGTATCAAAGAAGAACAAGCAATCCCATACAGCCGCGTATTTTCTTTCCTTTTTTTCTGCTAAATTTACGACATATGGCTGAGGAATTTGAACTTTGATCAGTATAGAACAGGTCCGACAACTACGCTCTTGCCACCCTAAATCTAGATCTCAATTGTCAAGAATACACATTGCATCTCCTTTAAAGTAAAATCCAACTATAAGATGGTCTGCACGGTTGATGACAAATCACCCTTTTTCCCAACTTTTCGTCATCAGCTCACGAGGTCATAGAAGGAAGCATTAATCGACATAAACCTTTGCTAAATATCAATAAGCCCAATATATACAAGAAATTACCTGAAATTTCCAAGAGTTAGAAGCTGCGTGATTTCTTTGAAAAGTTCTTCATTAAACGTGGAGAACACTCTCAAATCGCTAACTAAGATTTCAACAGCCTTCGGTTTGTCCTGCCTACACACAGAAAAAAAAAAAGAATACGCAAGATTACTCTCCCTCTTCCAGAATATAGTCAGGAAACCCTAACAACAGAAGTAGACTTAAGGATTACCGATCAAGTGCTTCTAGATATTTCTGCTTCCTTATTTCGAAAAATATCTTCATAGAGTATCTGTTGTCATCAACTTTTGTAAATCCTGATAAGTACTTCTCCACTTCGTCCCATTCTCCGGCCTGAATTTTCTCTTCAAAGTACTTCATGTTGAAAAAGAATCCGGATTCTTTCTCAAGCCTACAACATAAAGGTGTCAACTTTTTCAATGAAATTTACAAACATCAAATTAGAACAATTTTGGAGAGTAAGAAAGAAAATAAACGTCGATACGAGATCTTCAGCTGAAAGTCAGTTACACACATGGAAATCATTTTGAAATTTTTGTCAAACAAGTGTTGTGAATCTTGCCTCCGTTTTCTACTATCGTTATTGTTTGTTTCCGTTGCATCTTGTTATCATTGTTTACCAAACTAAATCCCAATTTAAACCAAACGGTTGCTTGACCAAGCTTACTAAATCAACTTAGATGAATTTCTCTATCATTATTGTTTTCCGTATATTCGTAGCTTCATCTTCCATCTTTTCTTTACTTTTTCAATTTCTCTCACACTGCAACCTCATTTATCATTCAATGAATTCGGATTTCAGATAGAGACGGAGGACGCCTTGACTCTAATCCAGTAATCCTCACTAACCAAAAAACTTAAATGCTACTATTTTTCTAAAATTAAGTAAATTGTACCCCTCTCTCCCCCCCCCCCCATTTTCAGCGCAATTCGCACCAAAACAACGCAATAAAAAGCCGAAAGAAGGGACTTTACACATGCATATCATTCCATCTCTCAAAATTTACGCCAATGATGCATGTAAGAACCTCAATTAATCCTGTACGGGGGACTGAAATCTCCATCTTTAACCACTAAATCGGGATCACCACCGCCGGGTAAGCAAACACGAATAACTTCCATAAAAAATTAAAATTAACGACATAAACTTCAAACAACCGAAATCTTACAACCAGCACATAAATCCAAAACCACGCTCAAACGTACGTGTTTCCGTACATGCATGTATGAATCCGTACGTACACACGTGCACTCGTGTACAATAGTGAAAGTACATATGATTTGGGAAAGCTTTCAGCTTACCTGTGTACGGACTCCTTGAACTTCTCCTCCTCCAGAAATTGGAGTATCAGAAACACCAATTCTCTGCTCAAAGACGACATTTTTCGATCCTCAAACTCTCAGACCGCAAAGATTCCTCTGTTTTCCCGAACAAAAACCAGACCTTTCAAACTTCACTACACAAACAGACACAGATTAACGTTAAAATCACACACTCAAGCTTCGAACCTGAGTTCAGATCAAACTCAAAATCCCAGAAATCATCGATGTTTCTGACGATTTTGTCTCTCACGCTTCGAGGATTTCTAGGGTTTTAAAGACTGCACACAGAGAGAGAGAGAGAGAGAGAGAGAGAGAGATTTATATTAGCCTCGCTGTGTTCGATGCAGGAGTCTTTCCTTTTCTACTGACCTATCACTGATAAGTACAGCTGCTTATCGATAAGTAGTTTCGGTTATTTGCGTAGTTTCTAAACTTATCAACGTGCGTGGGGCGTCACGGATTCGAAATCAAAATATAAAACTCGGTTGAATACTCGGTACTCACGTCCATTCCACCACGACGCCTTTAATTTCCGTAAATTCGTACTGTCGCTTTCGAGTTTCCGGACACTAAATTAGCGGAGTTTAATGAAGGGAAGTGACAGCATTCTGTCGCTGATATATCGGGAAATAATCGGGAAATGAGATGAGCGGAGTTTCGGGTAAAGTTTCACTATTGGTACTCGACAAGCATGAATGGACAAGGTTGCTTACTTCAAGAGATATTTTAGTGCTCTTAAAACATTATTCGGTACATTAAATTAAGTATCGTAATACAAATAATTAGATATTTAAAAATAAAAATTTCCAAACATTTATATTGTAATTGTTGATATATAGAACCGTATTTCCGACACAGATAAAAATTCTCTTTTTTTTTTTTTTTCCCTTCCCCTCCCTCCTTTTTTTTTTTTCTTCTCTCTCCACCATTCTCTTTTTTATCTTTTCTTAAGCATTCAAGCAAGAAAAAAGGAGGAAAAAAAAAAAAAAGAGAAAAATATTGTCCTTCCGATACATTGAAAAATTGATTGCTTACCTCACTCAAGCTCGCCTCGATATTTTACTATTGCTGTCGTGAACTGTCTGTACCTATGTTTTGTGTCGGCACGACTCTTCGCATTTATTTAATTGGGCCACGCAACTGAAAACCAGATGTAATCTACAAATAACTGGGATGTTGCTGGTAGCCCGATAACACGAAGGGAATCGTGATATCGTGATCCCTTGACCAATTTCTTTGTGGAATGGTTACATCAGTAACTAAATACTATATCTACATTTCATCTCTGCTGGACCACTGGTTCTAATGTGCGTGGTATTTGGGTAAGTTTCATGTGTCTTGATAACAACTATTGGTGTGCATGTTTCTGTGCAAACAAACGCACAAGTGTAGTGCAAACACATTGGTGTGCACAAAAGTCGCGGCTTTGATTGTGGGCTTGATTAATTCACGAAAGAACTAGAACTTGATTTGTGGGCCGATTCGTAATTTGACTCTATCAATTAATATTTTATTTAATTAAATTAAAATCAAATAATTCATTTCCACCAAGTGTTGACGTGTGTCGTTCTTGATGATTCATCCGGTTTTGCTGAGTCACATCCATGTGTACTATTTGTGGGGCACATGGCACATGCCATGTAAATTCTGACATGTCAAAACTTTAATGTATTGATAAATATTTACTTTACTGAAATTTCGATGTCTACATGTTCGTATTTACAAAGTAAAACCACCCAATAGTAAAAGTGTATTGTTCGTTTCTTAGATTTGGTTTGTGGCACTCGAGGCTCTATGTTTTTAAGTTTTTTACTTTTACCACGCTGCAATCAGACTCTAAATGTGCTTGCTTGTATCTCAAGACTTGATTTAGGAATAGGGAACTTTAGCGAAAAATTTTCGGTAATGTTTATTTTAACGAAAAATTACATTTTTACACTAAAAATCAATCTTGGTATTATTTATTTTACCCTTTGTTTTGTCTTTGTCATTAAAACTCAAAGTTTTCAAACCATTTTTATTAGTTTTCCTTTAAGAATAAGGTGACGAAAACACCTAACTGTTGGATTGAAACTCGAACCAACATCTTTAGCTTGCTTGCGCAATTTCCTAAATAAAAGTCTAATAAAAATTACAAAGATATAAGATAAACAAGGAGAAGGAACAAAGATTTTCTGCATTTGCTATTTTGGGGTGGCAATACTAAATGGGTGAACTTGCTGGGATTCAGCCAGAGGGGAAGTGGAGTGAAAGAAGAGGCAAATGGCAGAAATGTCGTCCATCGCGATTCCCCTCCTCTTGCGCTTCCATGCTTGCGCAGCGAACTCCACCAGACGCTTTGCAGCCTTCCCGGGCTCTGCAGTCGAGCTTACAATCTGCACGGCTTCTTGATTTGAAACGACATCCCAAACCTACAAGCAAAAACGTCTTAAGATTCCGTGGGAAATGTACATTTTCATTCACTAGCGATTTTGCTAAAACCGCGTTGAAACTTTCATTAAACATTCAAGTGCTTCATGCATTTATGTTAAAAGTAATTGGAAGCACTTTTGGTTATCTGAAAGCGCTTTTAGCCAACCCTTCTCAAAATGAATTTTAGTAGAAGAGCAATGCAGTACATACCCCATCAGTTGCCAACACAACAAACTGATCTCTGCTTGTTATATTTCTCTGTGACACTTCAGGCACAGAAATGAGACCAAAGTCCTTCACACAGTAATCTCCAAAGGCTCTAGACATTGCTAGTCCTGGTGTCTCTCCGTCCGGCTGCCACACCCTTTGCACTCCCGGCTCATCATCTAAACAGAAAACGCGTCCATTGCTTTGAATTATTCTCTCCGCCTCCTCTGCAAACAAAACCATTAATAACATGTAAATATGTGTAACCATTTGTTGTTTTCTTCAGTTTTATGTGTTGGGAGAGAGATAGAGACTGACGAGGCAAACTAGGCTTGAAATCGACAGTAAGCTGAACCGGCACCAAGCTTCCATCATCTAAAGTTGTGGCCAAAACAGCGCGAGAATCGCCAACATTTGCTATGAAAATGAGCTCGCCCTAAACAAACAAAAATTCGGACATACTTTCATGTCAATGCCGACGAAAACTGCATAAGGTCATCAATTTATACTTGATTTTTCTGGTAATCATCCGGCTACAATTGCAAGCCTAACAACAATCTGAACTAGTGTTCAAGTGAAAATTTATCGATACCTGTCTGACAATACTCAGGGCAGTTGTTCCGCTGTAAAAGGAATCGATTCTACGATGCTGTCCAAGCTCGTGATCAATGGCAGCACAAGTTTTGATATAGGAATCCTTCCATATATTAAATCGGTGACACTTTTTATCCGAATCCAGGTCAATAGAAGTTTGAGCTAGGGTCTCTTGCCAACTGCACAACAGAGAGGGTGGCATTGTTTCTCTTATCTGTTTTGCCACAAAATGTCCCCATGGACCATGCCCGTCGAAAATCCCACAAAACATCATATCCTCTTGGCACCCAAATCCCTAAAACGAAAACAAATGAGTTAATACAGGCTGTTATAGCTGATGTCGAGATTTCAGAGAGACGAACTAGTGGAACCACTTGCTTATACATTGTACTCAATTTTGACATGCGATGTCTACATTCTTCAACAGCTGATCCAACAATTTAAGTTTGTTTTATATTCAACTTGCTATTGTACTAATCTACTGAATTGGCAACAAAAAGGAGCTTAAGGTAAGAAAAATGAGCAAAATTTGCTTACCTCCCACACAATGCAGCAATCCTGGTTGACTCCTTTCTCGCCTCTCTTCGAGAAAACAGAAGCAAAATTATTTGAACCATCGACATCAACAATCCCCGAAGAGCGTAGGATCATGTCATTCTTCTTCGCCTCCTTCGCCATTGCTTCTGCAGCTCCTCTTGCACCGGACTTCTCATCATTGTTCTTCCCTATCTTGAATGATAGTGACCGCGCTAGCCCGCTGAACATGGAGGATAATTGCCCCATTACCTATTCAACTTCTCCAGGCAACCCAATTGTGTTTGTAGACTCAAAAAATCTGGACAATGTCGAGCATTAATAAAACAATTAAACATCACCTAAGGGAAGAAATTACTTGACATACATGTCAGGTTTTCGATATATATATATATATATATATTTTTTTTTCAATTTTATTTAACATTCTTCTCAGAGAAAGGACAGAAGGTTGAACAAGTTGAGCAAGTTGAACTGGGTGCTAGTATTGTGACTGAAAAGAGACATGATCTGACTCAGAAAGGTGAAAGAATCTCGTAATTTTATACGCAAATAAATGGTACAAAAATAAGGGAATATTCAGGCTTGCATGGAATTCCACCATGGACTTCCACCATGGAATTTAGAATTTTCTCTTCAACATTTAACGAGAAAATCCGTATTCTTATCTAATCTTTCGTATAAATCTGGCTCTTGAATTGAAAAAGGAAATTAAAAAAAAATTAAAAATTAGTAGCTAAAATAAGGACTCATCTAAAACTGGAAACAAACGAGTAATTTATTTTCTTTTCCTTTTTCTTGGTATCCATAAAAGCTAAAAGCTCTGCCGTTTGAAACTTTTTGAACCCTTTCCCCACAAAAGTTAATGCGATCTAAGGAAACCCAGATGAGAGATTGATTAAAGAGAACCAAAAAAAAAAAAGGGGTGGGTTTTGAAGTTTCTCAGTTACCAAACAACACCCAGAAAGGAACATTCAAAAATGCTGCAAAAAACAGTTCAATTTGAGCTTCTAAGCTAGCCCAAAAACAAAAGTCTTCATTTTCTCAGCAACCAAACAAAAAGAACCAGAATTTACCCAAAAAAAAAAAAAAGAACCAGAATGGAAAAAAAAAACAACCAAAGCAGACGAGGAGATTGAAACCTTGATATCAACTCCTGCAAGGTTTGACCAGAAATTTTCAGAAGCTAGAAGGCAGGAACTTGACGGAGTTGCCGGAAAACTGGTTTATCCGACCGGACCCCGGCGCAATTCCACGAACATATATAGCTGAAAACTTGAGGAACTGAAATTGGAGATCGATGAGAATCCATAACATAACCCCCCGTCTCTCTTCCGCGTATGATTTGTGTTCGTGTTTTTGTTTGGTAATGGTGAAAGCGAAGTGATAATTTATCTGAGGAGGAGAAGATAACAAAGCACACAGAGCTTGCTGTGTATACAAACAATACACATTATTTCTTAAGACAAACTCTACGAGTCTACGTCATGAAAAACGAAAAGGGTTTTTGCTTTTTTAGCTCCCAGAGTAATTTAGCTTCTTTTTCTTAATATATAGGCAATTATTTTGTTGTGAATATACAGAAATTATATGTTGTATAAAATGCTTAAATTTGAGGACGAGTCTGGGCACAACGAAAAAGTTGTTCATTCATGAGTTGTAACTGAAAAGTCACGGGTTCCTAGTGACGAAGAGCTCATATCGTCTAATCCGTTTCTACAAAAAATTAATAAAAAAACATAATGCAAAAGCTGATTCACGAAAGATTACTCAAAATGAACCTTCTATATCATTGTAAATTTTTATATATACAAATGATATTAAGGATGATTCACACGTAAAATTTCATGTGCAAAAATAAATATTTTTAACCACTTGACTTGACCTAAAACCCTCTGTAATTTACAAATTAATTCGATTTAGAAAGGACAAGTATGTCTCATTCATTTAAGTATTTCATACTTGGTTTATATATGGTAAAATATGTAGGAACATTTGATTGTTTAAACAAAAATTATGATTGAAAAAAATTAATGGAATGCCCAAATCATATATGCAATTAAAAGATCATATCTCTACTAATTAACGAAACTCTCTTGTCAATCAAAATAGGATAAAAAGATAAATTAGTCTTTTATCACACAAAAAAAATGATGGGTAATAATGTAATTTCACAGATCTAAATTTTACTTTTTTTTTATTGAAGCCTTACCTATATTTGATGTTAAAATACCTTCAATATTAAAATAAAAACAAAACAAAACAAAATAAAAAAAAAATAAAAAAAACCTTTCACTCCCCCCCCCTCCCCACGTTCTCTCTCTCCCTCCCTCCTTCTCATTTTCTAAAAAAAATTGTTCATACACATAAAGTATGTATACAAATGCTAATATGCAATTAAATAACCACACAAAAATAAAGCTAACGGTCGATGCTAATTTGATAGTATGGAATAATATGTTCATCTCTAATCTATCAACCAAGAGTTCTCAACCACCACATGGTGGGTTAGTGATTGAGGACAATTCTATGCTCATATTTCATATAGCATATTCTGAATTTGATTATGGTGATTCAAATGATAATATTTCGGGAAAATTGAAATAAATATGTGAGTCTTTACGACTTCTAAAAAAATGAATTGACGTTTCAAAACCACCCGCTGATCCCTTTTCTAAAAATAAACAAATAAAAAAAATCAACCAAGAGTCCTCTAGCCTGCGTACACATGGCTGTATCTTGGCCAGCTGCAGCCATGGACGAATGCAATATGTATAAAATTAAAAAAAATTAATAATAATAGTAAGCCATCGTAATCATTGGGTTAAATTTATTAATTCTACAAAAATGAATAGAGTTAGGTGTGCATGAAAAATAATAATTATATTAGCTCAAGATATAATTAGCTAATTTAAGCTGATGAATACGTAATGTCCATTTTTTTAGTTTTGTTCTGTAATTTTAAAAGTGTTTAGGAAAAGTATTCGCCCATGAGGTAGTCAACTAAGTTTTTAATTTCATGAAAATCATTAACAATATACCACATTCTTAAATAATTTACGAATCTGATTATTAAATTTGTTATGATAATTTATTTTAAAAAAGCATGGCTCTAAGACCTTGTCAAAATACAAAACACTAAGACTTTTTAAGGGTTTGTAATTCAAATAGTTACGAGTATCTAGTAATCACCGAGTTTGTTGGGGTTGGCTAGCAGAGAGCTTAGTCAAATAAGTGTTGATTATAAATTGTCACATTCCAATTATGTAAAACCATACAAAGTTTCAATTAAACAAAATTCTTCATTTTAATATACCATATATATAGAAGAAATTGATGGATTCATTTCTTTATCGAGTAAACTTTATATAAATTCAATTTTGTGAATCATTATTGTGTTTAGTCCACTTAGTTTTCTTTTTTCATTTATTAATTCGCATTTCAATTTTTTCTTCTATTCCATTCCAAGTTAATTGTGTTAGCTAATCTACGTTGTATGTACTCTCTCTATATATATATATATATATATATATATATATGGATATATATACTAGTATGGATTTATAAATGTATGGAAGGAAATTTCTTTGAATTATGCAAGTAGGCCTCTACCACAGTGGTATAGAGTAGTGTTGTCTTTACATCACGACGTGTATTCAAACCCCATTAGCTTCCTAATCTAACATCTAACCTAACAAATGGGGTCGGCTTAGCCTCACAATGTGCTAGCAGTAATGTGGTTCCTCTCACTGACAAATGAAAATGAATACCACTAGATTGTAGATTTTCATATTTAAATTAAAAATTTAAGTAAAAATGCATAAATTAAGAAATTTAATTAAAGTTGAAAAATAAAAAAACTGGACTAAACTCTAAAACAGCTCAAATTTTCAAACCTGAATCAAAATACCTTTTCATTTTCCCGTTGTGGTAACTGGTAAGTTCCTTTTCAACATTTTCAATATATTATAGGTTAGGTGAAAACAACAAGAAAACAAAGTTATTAGTCAAGTGTGAAAGGAAAGCACTTAATCGCAGGGCTTACCAAAAGGAAGAAAATGTTGCACAACTAACCAATAATATATATCCACCTCATTCAAATCAAGAAAATCTAGCTATTAGAAGAAATCTATCAATGTCCTAAAAAGTGGGAGAGTAGGAGACCGTTACAATGTAACATGACCACATCTGTAATCTGTGTTGTTGAACCTTGAAGAAATTTGGACTTGGAATATATACCCACATCGTGATGATGTGGTATTAATAATTTCAATAGCAAATTCAGGATTTGACCACTTGGTAAAAACAGAGCACGAAGAGGGCAAAAAAAAAAAAAAAAAAAAAAAAAAAAGAACCAGTTTATTCACTAAGAAATAGGAATACTTGGTGGACTTGTTCTCGGTGTTTGGCTGCACACATGTCAACAATATCAACATATGGAGAAACGGACTTGGATCCAGATCCAAATTGTGGGGATCTTAGGAACTCTCATAACTTAGTTATTCATCGTGCATTGTGCAGTTAGAAATCATTTGATTTTTTTTATTTAAAATTAAACACAAATAGTACATGACAAAAACTGACCGCACGATGTATGATTAACGACTAGGATGTGGGGATCCTAGAGATCCTCACAAAGTGGATCCGGAGAGAATTCTCTTCCTGAAGAAACAATATGATGATTGATATCGAGGTAATTTGTCGAGTGCTATCAAAACGACCTGTTGAGATATGTCTAATAGATATTACATTAAACACTCGGTTAACACTAAAATAACTCGTACCAAACATTCAAAAGGTTCTCAAAAGACCTGCACATATAATTTTTCCAAACTCTAAATGGCTCCAAGGCCACCTGAATCATAATGTACATTCGCCCATGAATATCAGGTTAAATTTCTTATCATATTACATTGTATTTTAAACTGAAATGTCGTATGGTGGTGAATTAATAACGTACAAGTTGCTCTTCCAAAAAACGTCATTATTATCATAGAGCCCTACCTATTTCCCGGTGGGATATGATGGTGATTTGACCATGGTTCATTGGTTTCTCTAATAGTGGACTAAGATTTTCCATAATATTGTCGGTCCAAGGAAATTCATGATCGTGGATTAATCTTTGTATTATATAGTCGGCAAGACTAATCTCCACCATACGAAATTGTTGGTGAATATTTGGTGGCAACTACTTTTTACACTATGAACTTGGGTAAGTGGCCCCATCTCCAGTGTCTCTCCACGGGACTGTTGGGAGATTCTTATGAGGGGCTTAGTTGATTCATAATTTATGTTCTCGTCTTTCGTTCTTTTTCGTTTGTTTCGAGTTTAACAAAGGATATGGTGAATTTGGTAATGAACAAATTTTCTAAAATGAAAAGGCAGACATGTGTATTTCATGTCAATTGATCTAACGATATTTCATGTTATTATTTCTCTTATTACCGATGCGAGGGAATTATGCAATGTAACAATAGGCGTATTATTATGTTATTATTTCTTATTACGTGACTTGATGTTATAAATGTAACCAAAGTGTTTTTTTTTTTTTTTCCGTAATATCTCTCCTATCAAGCGACTTTCATGTGACTAAGGGCTAATTTGATATTGTTGTGCTTTTTTAAAAAAAATTGCTTCTGTTGTGTTGTGAGAATAAACAAGTGTAAAATAAAGTTGTTAAGTGTTTAGTAAACCTTTTTTTTGTAAAAGTGCTTTTAATAAAATAAAAAAAAAGCAGTGTCTGAGTGTTTGGTAAACTTTTATATAAATTTATTTGAATATGTTACATGACTAAAAATGATATAGTATTTAATGTGATATAATAATTGTAAAAAACAATAATGTAAGGGTAAAAATTGTAATTTTGTTAAACATATGGGGGTATATGCCGCACCCCGACCCGGAATATCCACCAGGACTCCGAATCGAGCTGTGCTAGCTTCGTCACCTGGACAGTTTGGTATCAGAGCATAAGTTGGGCAGTATTGTGTTCATCACACGCGTGATCTGAGCATTCTTGATTTTTGTGTCTATTGTTGGAATCTTGCCACCTCATCAAATACGGAAAAATAAGTTAGCTTTTCTTCAGTTTTGGGCAGTTTGTGGTCTTGATGACATTGTAGAAAATCATTTTGGCGTTTGTCCTTAGAATTAAAACAAAGTTATTCCTTGTGGAAGAAACGTGTAGATTTGAGGCAAGTTGATGGCCTAAGTTAATGTATTGATAACCGTGAATTACCAGAGATTTTACCAACTAATTCCTTTATTATTCTTTCGTTGTTAGAATTGATACTTTTGAGATTGAAAATCCCAACTAGTTTTGATTCCTTGGTATTATTGTTAGAATATCACCTAATGGAATTCTTGTGAAGTCTACTTTTATTAAGACTCTAGAAATGTTTTATGTGACAATGTGATGCTAATGTGGTAACATTTAAAGGAAGATCATATGAGACAAATATTTTTGGTCCCTATTATCACTAATATCTTTAAACGTACTAGTGTTTATATTGGATCTTCAGGGG